CACGAGTCTCTCTGATATTGTATGCTCCGATTAACCAAGTGACCTATCATCTGCGTGTTTTTTGGTAAACACACCGTAGTCTCTATCTATTGCCAGCCAAAATTAAACACCAATTTCGGAAAGTCTATGGTCACCGTGTTCGTGTTCTTCCGTTCTTCTTGTCTCATCAAGTTTCGATCGTCTCTGTACTCGAAAACCTCTCTCTCTCTCCACTCTTCGCTTTGAATAGTAGCATAGAGTTCTCCATAATACACGCCAGATAACTAGAATTGCATCCTATTTGTTGTGTACGTTCATGATGCTATTTGAACGGTTCTTTTTTCCCGTCCCATTGAATTGATTCCGTTTCGGTCGCCGTCTTTGGAATACTAATCAGTTCGATGGGTGCGCCAGTTAGTTAGTACAACTACATACGCCTTGTGTGCTTGTTTTTTCCGGTCCGTTTTGTCGATTCAAGTCACACAAACGTGTCCGGGAGGGGGGGGGGATAGCGTGGCGTGAGTTCGAACGATTGCATCACGCCATCCTCCGTGCACCACGTACTTACGGGCTGTTCTGTCTCGTCACTGTTCTCTGATGGAAATGGTTGAATGGAGTCCGGTTCGTGCTCCGTTTAGTGCTTGTCAAAACGCAGCACTGTTTTGCGTAGGTCGGATGATCGCATGAGTCTGGTCAATGGAGAACCACATAGTGTGTTTCCGACATTGCAAGGATGAATCGGAGTTCAAATCATTCGGCAAAGGTCATCCATATTACCGAGTCAATCAGTACTCTCATGTAATACCTAAATGAGTTGACACGCATTCGTGACCTGTATCATGTCACTCCAACTTTTACTATCAGTCGTTGCTAATTCATGACTCTATCTAACTGTTTCTGAACTCACATGGAGGACTGGGGTGTTCAACTAAATCACGATCGCTCAGAAATTTGATAGTAAGTGGTCATCTGCATCTCTGTTTCCCTGCCTCGCGTTCCGTGTGCCCCATAAACCAGTTTTGTCTTTGGTTAGTAAAGATTGCGCCTACAAATGACCTTGTTTGCTAATTCGACTGGTTGGTGCAACTGGCTGGTCTGTTCCAGTATTATTTCTTGTAACCGAATTGAGGAGCACGCAACACCAACTGCTTCTATTCCACTTGGCATCACATTGCATCGTGCATTTATCCATCAGTATCTCGTCAAAGTCTAGCGTATTGAGCCCCTTACCTGAAGAAAGCCCCGCATACTTTTGCTAATCGAACCTATTACATAGCAAACTGATACGGTAAATGATATCAATGTGGTCGTTGTAATCGTTTATGTCGAATGATGTACTCTTATTCGACCTTTCAAAATATGGCACATGAACGATTATTCTCTACAAAAGGGTCACTGTGTTTCTTGTATAACAAGTTATTTTGGAGGGTCCTTGGAACTGTCGGATTCAATTGATGTGGAAGGAGAGCATTATCTGATTGCTTGGGCCTCCAAAGAAATGAGGTTTTCAATCATTGGTTTCTGCTCTTTATCCTGTATCGTATTGGATTCAAGCTTTGACGAGTTATATGCAATCTTTCAGCCACACCAGAGATCACTATCATAGTTCTGACAAAACGGAGAAAACTGGAATATCGAGCTTGCAAAAATGTGAGTTAACTGACTATTTAAATGCATTAAACAGCTCCGCACGAATACTACTCTCCATGTCAGTCAGCATTCTTTCCAGTTAGCGTAACCAAAGAGTTTCTGTAGGCAGATATCCGAGATGGGATGAGTTTCTATTTGGAACGCGTGGAGAAGTGAGATTTGCATGCACACGGATCAATATGTAAAAGATGGATGCAATCAGATAGAATATTGCATACTACATAACTCGCTAAAGCTTGAATACAATACAATATTGTCAGCAAACTTCAAGTGTGCGTCAATATGAGCGTCGCAGTTATTGTCCACCAGAACAGATAACAGGACAACATGAGTGATCATTGTGAAGCCTCACCTCAGCAGCTTGAATACAGTCTTCAGCAAACCAAGGGAAATCGTAAGGGAACAGTAAATGAGGTATAGAGAGAACACGTTGTTGAACAAAAGTTCCTATCGCAGACAAATGAGAACAGAAGTGATCCAATCCTGTTACCTGAAAGAAGAAAACTCTCAGCATACGGAAAACAGCAACGGTTACACCTAATTACTTCACATGGCTGACCATGCTTATCGGCTTTCCCTGAATCTGTGCATTGTTGGAGGGAGATGGGGAACGGTTTAGAGTAAAAATGCATTCAAGGCATTTTCTGGGACTAAGAATAAGACCAGATGAAATGAATTACGAAACAAGGTGGGATAAGTTTGTGGTACATATAACCAGTTCTGATTGGTAAGATACGGAGATGGAAATGGTGATATCATCAGCATACTTGAAATGTCGAGCAGGGAGAGAGTAATGGGTAGGTCACTGATATAAGTCGCAGAAGGATAGAGTCATCAGACAGCCCGAACTATCGAGTGATGCTGTTGGCTTTTTTTCTTCCCAATTTACCTTAGTGGTTTCTTTGCGAAAGGTAATGATCAAGCTGCTCAAGAAGCAATGTGGGACAACCAAACGATTGCAGCTTATTAAGCAAAAGATAACGGAGTTCCGAGTCAAAAGCAGAACAATAGCCAAAAAATGCGCAGTGCACGTGTTTGGCTTTCTTGTTTAGGGACCTGCAGATGAAGTGAACCAGAGGAGAAACGTTACCCAGTATTAAGCGTGTGTTTACATGCAAACTGATTACTGTCATCGGCGGTGATGAGAGATAGCTTAAGGCGATGCAGAACTAACCAATCCATCAATCTCAAATCAGTAGAAGTAAGACCAGTTGGCCTGAAACTGGGGCCTTTGTTTTTCCTTTGGGGAATGGGTGTAGTTCTCACCGGATGCCAGCATTCCAGAATGGTTTGGAGTTCGAGTGAAAGCTTAGCTGTGTGCAAAATTGTGAGACAGTAACACAGCATCGTGTTTAAGAATTGCAGGACT